GGGAAGTTAGGAGTACTGCAGGAGGTAAGATTTTATCTCTGAGCTCTGACCTCTCGGCTTTCTCTTTTACATTGGCTCTGTGTTTCTTATTTTACTAAGATGATTGGTTACATCTACAGGTGGGTTCAGGTCTCTACCTAGAACCTCTCACGTTATTTGAATAGGAGAATTTTTTCAACTTCCTCAGAATAATGGCAGCTTAAAATTTATTAACCTCATCATTTTTGTATATCATTGGAATAAAGGTAATATCTCATAGAGACTGAGATTAACACAGTTTTTGTATAAGTAGAAAATATCATGCCTTGGTTAATGCCATAAGGGTCTATTTTCACAACAGGAGCAACCAATCAATATGGAAGGGATTCTTATAAAATTAAGCAAGAGCCGTGTCATAGGTCTGTATCAATTATACAGTTGTGTTTGCCTCCTACTCCTACAATGAAACCTATCTTCCATACTTCCTAAGGTGTGTCCATATTGACAAGCTAATTGTTTTTGTGTATTCTCTTTAATTGAAGAAAAACACATCAAGCTTCTTATCTTATTCTCAGTCTAAGTTTTTGCCCATGAAAAATAGTTTTGAAACACATCACAATTCACTATTCCACCTTGTCAAGTGGCGATAATACCAAGCCTCTCATGGCAGGAATTCTAAGACTAATAATTCTAAGACACACACACCAAAGTTCTGGGAACACTATCGATCCTATATTTTTCCCTCCCCTTTCTCTTTGCCCTACCTAACTATATTTAATACTTGTCTTGATGGTAGAGTTCTGAGTATTCTCCAGCTGTTCCCCAGTTCTACTATATACACTCCATGCTTACTCTCAGTAATAAAGAATGATGTTAATGCTTTGCTCAAGCAAATCTACTACTTTCTGATTTTCTGCAAGATTCCACCATTGAAGATCATTTTAGAAGGTAGTAAGAGTGAAAAAGGGTGATTTCCAGACTGCACAAGAACCTTCATCACATTCATGGCCACTCCCTTTTTTAAAATTTGTATGTATTGCTATAGCAAACTTCTGTCTAATATCTCATTGTCTGTCTTACTCCCTCAAGGATAAGGCTGTTGATGGCTCTTCTGATGCCAGTTTCGAAAGTTGCGTCTGTGGTTTCCATTAACCAAATCATCCTTTTGTCATGAGCCCTTGTATTAAGTTTTCCCTAATTACCCATTTATGTCAAGAGTCTAAAGTATAGTTAATATATTATTACATTCTAATCCAAGGGCTAAAGTCATTGCTAGCATCTTTGTCTCCCAGGTAGCAATAGGTCAGAAGTATTTTCTTTGTAGTTCAGAGGTGGATCACTGAAAAGCAGAGTATGTACAAACTTGTGGACACAATGAAAATACTACCTTAAGTGAATAGTTCAAAAATACCAAGCTGGAAGGATTTCTGTCTAACAGCTTTACTCTTTATCTTCTTTTCTAAGATGTTGGGAGTAACTTTCCTGATTGCTAAAGCAAGTGGGGATTCCCTCCAAGGTTTCTTCAGGACATGCAACACAAGTAATTGGCTTCAGTTCAAACTGTATAATGAACAGATTGCCCGAGCCCACTGCCTCTAATCTTAACCTTAGTACTAGCAGCAATTCATTACAAAATCCAAGACAGAATTTCTAGAACTTTCTATGCAGCTACCCTGTGGCTATAAAGGCAGTGTAGTTGAAACTGCTAGTGCCTTTCATCTACCCATTTCTCTCTTTGTGTTGTGTCCTAGCAATACATGGTTACTTGAGATTTTTATTCCTACTCAAAAGACAGGTCATTTCACTTCTACAGCATTGCAAGACCTTGAAAACTCCTAAAATAGAAGATTGAAATTGCGTTTAAAAATCTCTTCAGCTTTGGCTCATACATTTACCCTGAAATCAGCAGTTGTAGGGTGTTCATGGGCCAAAGAGAATTTATATATATATATTCCATCCTTCAACCATATAACATAAAGCAGGAAATGAGTAATTAGTACAGGTTGTTTTTCTTCTCAGATTTGTAGTTCAAAAAGTTGGACATGTGGACACTAAAGGAGACAAACCTTCATTTAACTGGCACTGTTTGTCAGTGTCGAGCTTTGATTTTAATAAGGCAAATAGGAGCCTCCTATCACCTCTATATCAGACAACACAAACCAAAATTGCTTTTTTAATAGTCTCTCTTTTTGAGAACTTTGTATTGCCCAAGATATGAAGTACACATCCCTTTTATTATCATAGTGGCCAGTGTTTGTATTTCCATGTTCAGCTGCATGTTCAATAGGTCATGTGTATTTAAGAATCTTTTGCATCTTGGTAACAAATTAGGGATCACAGTCTTTTCAAAATATTGTTTGACAA